TTTTATGAATTCTACACTTAAGGACAGACAACAAAAGAACAACATAGGCAGTAATTTTTTAAAACACCGTGCTGGGCATGGTGGCTCATGGCTATAATTCCAACACTTTAGGAAGCTGAGGCAGGTGAATCACCTGAGGTCAGGAGTTCAAGACCAGCCTGGTCAATATGGTGACACCTTGTCTCTACTAAAAATACAAAAATGATCTGGGCGTGGTGGTGGGTGCCTGTAATCCCAGCTACTCGGGAGACTGAGGCATGAGAATCACTTGAACCCCGGAGGCAGAGGCTGCAGTGATCATACTGCTGTAATCTAGCCTGGGGGATAGAATGAAACTCTGTCTCAAACAAACAAACAAAAAAAAGACTTCAGGGTATCTTATAAGTCAATACAAATCCACATTGACTTGTGTTTCTACCTGTTTAATACCAAGTCCAACTGGTAGCAGTCATTAGATTGATCTGGAGATGTTGAAAAAGCATAAATCATCAAAGACAGATTTGACGTCTGTTTCGGTCTATAGTGGACAGCTATGGCTAGGTCTGCCCAGCTGCCCTTCCGTCTTCTGGAATTGCTAGGAATTACTGATTACCATCCTCCTTTCTTTTTTTCCTTTTCTTTTTTTTTTTTTGATACAGAGTTTCACTTTGTCACCCAGGCCGGAGTGCGGTGGCAGGATCTGAACTCACTTCAACCTCTGCCTCCTGGTTCTGTAATCCCAAGCCGCTGGGATTACAGGCGCCCACCACCACGCCCAGCTGATTTTTCTATTTTTGGTAGAGACAGGGTCTCACCATTTTGGCCAGGCTGGTCTTGAGCTCCTGACCTAAAGTAATCTGCCTGCCTCGGCCTCTCAAAGTGCTGGGATTACAGGTGTGAGCCCCCACGCCCAGCCACCCATCCTCCTTTCTAACACTTCGGTTTCCTTTTGGAAATTTACTCTTCTCCTATTGGATCCAGAATTGCTGACTGGTAAATCTAGGGGTATGCTCCTACAGGAGACAGAATAATCATGGCCCCCACCAAAGATGTTCACATCCTAATCCATGGTTGGTAATCATCTCACCTTACAACAGGATCTGTGGTTGGTGGGTGCTAGAGCAGTGTCATGATGAGGGTTCTTAAAAGTACAAAAGTCCCGGCCCAGTGGCTCACACCTGTTATCCAAGCACTTTGTAAGACTGAGGCAGGTGGTTCACTTGAGCTCAGGAATTCAAGACCAGCCTGGGCAACACGGTGAAACCCTTCCTCTACCAAAAATACAAAAAAAGAAAAAATTCGCTGTGCATGGTGGTATATACCTGTAGTCCCAGCTACTCAAGAGGCTGAGGTGGGAGGAGGGATGGCTTGAGCCCAGAGGGTGGAGGTTGTAGTGAGCTGAGATCGTACCACTGTACGCCAGCCTGGGTGACAAAGTGAGACCCCATCGCCAAAAAAAAAATAAGACAGAGAGAGAGGCAAAAAATGAGAATCACAGGGAGATAAGAGAAACAGAAGAACCAGACTCAGAGAGGGATGCAACTCTTGTTGTTAGCTTTGAAGATGTAAGAAGGCATAGAAGACCCAAGGAAAGCATGCAGTCTCCAGAAACAGAAAAAGGCAAGGAAATGAATTCTCCCCTAGAAACTCCAGGTGGGAACACATCCTGGCCAGTACTTTGATTTTAGCTCAGTGTCAGACTTCTGGCCTCCAGAATCAGAAAATAATAGATTTGCGTGGCATTTAGCCAGTCAATTTCCAATCGCGTGTTACAGAGGCAATAGGAAGCTGATACATGAATACTCACTTCTGCTGCTGGAGAAGCTGGGCTGGGATTTCCGGCAGGTCATGCCTCTTGTCACCCTCAAATGGAACCTCAGCAGCATCTCTGCTCTGCTCTTCTCTCAGTTTGACTCAACCTTTTCCCTTTGCATGACTTTCAAGAATCCCACTAATAAAAATAACCTTCGGTTGCAGTTGGTTGGATTTGGACCTATCACTTGCAGTTAAGGGTCCTGATTCCAACTGGAGCACGATGGCTCACGCCTGTAATGCCAGCACTTTGGGAGGCTGAGGCGGGAAGATCACTTGGGGCTGGGATTTTGAGACCAGCCTGGCCAACATGGTGAAACCCCATCTCTACTAAAAATACAGAAATTAGCCGGGCATGGTGGCACACCCCTGTAATCCCAACTACTCAGGAGGATGAGACATGAGAATCACTTGAACCTGGGAGGCAGAGGTTGCAGTGAGCCGAGATCACCACTGCCCACCAGCCTGGTCAACAGAATGAGACGCCATCTCAAAAACAAAAAGATTCCTAATTTCATTTGCTAAATCAGGCAGAGGACCATTTGTCAATAGATTTTTTATTTGCAAGGACTGAAATAAAAAGAATTGTAGTGTTCCTTAACTCTTAGTTAACCAGTTAATGACAGTAAGTAGAAGTGCCTGTGAGTTGTCAAGATTTGGGTTTGTTTTTATGATTTCTTTGTACCGTTATTTCACTGTAAAAGAGAATAAGAACAGGAGAGTAGGGTAGGTAAATGCCTGGGCTCTGGAGTCATGCGGATCAGAGTTCGAATCCCATCTTCTCTGCTCACCAGCTGTGTGTGTGACCTTCAACCTGTGGCATATTGGAAAGCGACATCCATTCACAAGGCCACCAGTCTTCCACGTGGTGTTTTGATCTCCTTGTTTCTTTTTCTTTCTTTTTTTCTTTTCTTTTCTTTTCTTTTTTTTTTTTTTTTCTGAGACAGAGTCTCATTCTGTTGCCCAGGCTGGAGTACAGTGGAGCGATCTTGGCTCACTGCAGCCTCCATCTCCCGGGTTCAAGCAATTCTTCCACCTCAGCCTCCTGAGTAGCTGGGATTACAGGCACGCACCACCATACTCAGCTAATTTTTGTATTTTTAGTGGAGATGGGGTTGGCCAAGCTGGTCTTGAACTCCTGATCTCACATGATCCTCCCGCCTCAAGTGCTGGGATTATAGGCATGAGCCACTGTGCTTGGCCTGATCTCCTTGTTTCCGACTACTGTCTCTTGTTCCTCAGTTTGTTTCTGAAGTGTTTATCTATTTCTCCCTGCCCCTCCATAGAATGGAAGTGTGTTAACGTTCCTTATTCCTTATGCACGCTTTTCTCACCTGTGGTATGGACAATGGCACACAGGTTTTAAAGACGGAATGAGATAATATGCACAAATAAATTATACAGGTGCTGGTACCCAGCAAGAGTACCCAACAAATGCTAATTAACAAAATAAAATCAAGAACAAATGAGCCTCTTTGAGCCTTGGGTTCCTTTCCTAAGAGAGTATTGGCATCTTTCTCGTATATATGCTGGTAGGACTTTAAAAGATGGAGTACTGGCCGAGTGCAGTGGCTCATGCCTGTAATCCCAGCATTTTGGGAGGCTGAGGTGGACAGATCGCCTGAGGTAAGGAGTTTGAGACCAGCCTGGCCAACATGGCGAAACCCTGTCTCTACTAAAAACAAAAAAATTAGCCGGACGTGGTAGGCACCTATAATTCCAGCTACTCAGGAGGCTGAGCCAGGAGAATCGCTTAAACCTGGAAGGCAGATGTTGCAGTGAGCAGAGATCATGCCACTGTACTCTAGCCTGGGTGAAAGAGTGAGACTCTGTTCTGTCCAAAAAAAGGATAAAGTATTTTAAGTGCTTGCCTGGCACACAAATTTTTCTTTCCTCAGCCTTCCTCTTATGGGATGTAAATGTGGCAGCATCAGCTTGAACTGGTTCTTTTCTTCCCTCTGGTCCAACAGCATCCTCAACAGCTTGGCCAGCATGGTGAAACCCCATCTCTATTAAAAATAATCACTTTCAGACATTAAGACAAGATGTGAGGCCTGTACAGGATACGAGGTCTGAAGCTCTTTGCCAAATACGTAATCACGTTGTCTTGGTTAATCCTGTCTTCATTTGAAGAACGAGAGGCAATCACTTCCTGATTTTCCAGAAAAGTCATTCCTTGGACCTGTTCTATTCCTGCAGTCCCCAAAAAGTCAATCACTTGGCGGATGCTTCCGGATAAACTACTTCTCCAACTCTGGGACTTTATGTTCTCTGCTTTTCAATCACTGTTTTGCTAAAATTTCTTATAAGCATTGACTAAGAATTTGAGGGCAAGATGATTTAAAAGAAAAAAACAGACTGGGCACAGTGGCTCACCCCTACAGCACTTTGGTAGGCCAAGGTGGAGGATCACTTGAGGTCAGGACTTTGAGACCAGCTTGGCCAGCATGGTAAAACCCCATCTCTATTAAAAATACAAAAATTAACTGGGCATAGTAGTGAGCACATGTAGTCCCAGCTGCTCAGGAGACTGAGGCATAGAAATTGCTTAAACCTGGGAGGTGGATGTTGCAGTGAGCGAAGATCACACCGCTTGCACTCTAGCCTGGGAGACAGCAAGACCCTGTCTCAGTAAAAACAAAAAACAGGCCAGGCGCGGTGGCTCAAGCCTGTAATCCCAGCACCGTGGGAGGCCGAGGCGGGTGGATCACGAGGTCAAGAGATTGAGACCATCGTGGTCAACATGGTGAAACCCCGTCTCTACTAAACAAAAATACAAAAAATTAGCTGGGCATGGTGGCGCGTGCCTGTAATCCCAGCGACTCAGGAGGCTGGGGCAGGAGAATTGCCTGAACCCGGGAGGCGGAGGTTGCAGTGAGCCGAGATCGCGCCATTGCACTCCAGCCTGGGTAACAAGAGCGAAACTCCATCTCAAAAACAAACAAACAAACAAACAAACAAACAAAGATTCCCCATTGAGACATATGATAAACTAACACACAGTTTACCTGGGTTACTATCATCTTTATTAGCATGTAAGCTATTCAAGTATATAAAATGTATCTCAATTCTACAATTACATAATTGGGGGAAAATCTAAACATTTTTCATGGTACATGAATTGAAAGTGATTTTAAAATACTTTTGTCAAGGAAAACATTACTTTCGGTTTACTTATATATATTTTACTATGTATTAAAATCTAGTAGAACCCGTTTTTCACTTTGCCAATTGGACTTATGTCATTATTGGTCATTCAGGTGGGCAAAGAAAATATGATTTTAAAACTCAGGCAAACTAGGTGTTGGTCTTGTATCCTGTTGAAGGAAACAAATTGAAATAGAAAAAAAAGTCTGGTAGAAAATTATTAACTCTAAATGTGGAATAATATTGAATTAACTCAGAAAGAAAATATATATATATGATCAGCTAAAGGAAATATTTTGCTATGAATGATATGTTCCACAGCAAAGTTAGAGGAATCATAAATCCAAATCTAATACATTCAAGCATTAACCTTACTTTACCTCTAATGAGTTTGATGATCTGTGGCTTGTTTTTGTTTTTAGTTATTAGTTGTTATTATTATTTTGTTTTTATGTGACACATAATAATGATATATATTTATGGGGTATAGTGTAATGTTTTTATATATATATATATATATATATGCATTGTGTAAAAATTAAATCAGAGTATTCACCATGTCAGTCACCTCGTACATTTATCATTTCTTTGTGGTGAGTACATTCAAAATTCTCTCTTCTAGCTATTTCAAAATATGTAATACAATACTGTTGTCCAGGCACAGTGACTCACTCCTGTAATACCAGCAGTTTGGGAGGCCAAGCTAGGCAGATCACCTGAGGTCAGGAGTTCAAGACCAGCCTGGCCAACATGGTGAAACCTCAGCTGTACTAAAAATACAAACCTTAGCTGGGTGTCATGGTACGTGCCTGTAATCCCAGCTACTCTGGAGGTTGAGGCAGGAGAATCACTGAAACCCAGGAGACAGTGGCTGCAGTGAGCCGAGATTGTGCCACTGCGCTCCAGCCTGGGCAACAGAGCGAGACCATCTCAAACAACAACAAAAACAACATTGTTAACCATAGTCACCCTATTGTGCAGTAGAACACAAGAACTTATTCCTCCTATCTAACTGCAGCTTTGTACCTGTTGACCAATCTCTCCCTATTCTCCTCTCCGCTAATCTCCCCAGCCTCTGATATCCACTATTCTACTCTCTAATTCTGTGAGATCAACTTCTTTAAATTCCATATGGGAGGGGGATTATGTGGTATTTGTTTTTCTGTGCATGGTTTATTTCATTTAACATAATGTCCTCCAGGTTCATGCAGGTTGCTGCAATGACAGAATTTCCTCCTTTTTAATGACTAAATACTACTCCACTGCATATATATATTCTTTATCCACTCATCTGTTAATGGACACTTAGATTGATTTCATACCTTGCCTATTGTGAATAGTGCTGAAATAAACATGGGAGTGCACATGTCTCTTTGACATATTGATTTCATTCCCCTTGGAAATATACCCAGTAGTGGGATTGCTGGATCACACGGTAGTTCCACTTTTAATTCTTTGAGGAACCTCCATACTGTTGTCCATAAAGGCTGTACTTATTTACATTACCACCAGCTGTGTATGAGGGTTCCCCTTTCTCCATATGTATGCCAGCATGTTATTTTTTGTCATTTTGATAGTAACCATTTTACCTGGGGTAAGATGACATCTCATTGTAGTTCTGATTTGCATTTCCCTGATGATTAGTGATGTTGAGAATTTTTCATATACCTCTTGGTCTTTTATATGTCTTCTTTGAGAAATGTCTATTCAAGTCTTTTGCTTATTTTTAATTGGATTGTTTGGGGTTTTGTTCTATTTAGTAGTTTGTGTTCCTTATATATTCTGGATATTAACCCCTTGTCAGATACATAGTTTGCAAATATTTTCTCCCATTCTGAAGGGAGAATGTCTTTTCACTCTGTTGATGGTTTTCTTTGCTGAGAAGAAGCTTTCCAGCTTTAAATAATTACCTTTTTTTCTGGTTTTGCTTTTGTTGCCTGTGCTTTTCAGGTCTTATGCAAAAAAAAAAAAAAAAATTTACACGGAGCAATGTCAAGAAGCATTTCTCTATGTTTTCTTCTGGCAGTTTTGTCATTTTATTATTTCAGGTCTTAAGTTTAAGTCTTTAATCCATTTTGAGTTTATTTATTTTTGTATATGGTGATAGATAGGTATCCAGTTTCATTCTTCTGTGTAGGGAGATCCAGTTTTCCCAGCATCATTTACTGAAGAGTATGTTCTTGGCAAATTTGTCAAAAATCAGCTGGTTGTAAGTATACAGATTTATTTCCGTGTTCTCTATGCTGTTCCATTGGTCTATGTGTCTATTAGTATGCCAGTACCATGTTATTTTGGTTACTATAGCTTTGTAATATATTTTGAAGCTAGGTAGTATGATGACCCCAACATGACCCCCCATGCTCAAGACTCCTTTAGCTATACAGGATGTTGTGGTGCCATACAAATTTTTGAATTGTTTTTTTCTATTTCTGTGAATAATGTCATTGGAATTTTGATAGGGATTGCATTGAATATGTAAATTGCTTTGGGTTGTATGAATATTTTAACAATATTAATTCTTCCAAGCCATGCATATGGGATATCTTTCCATTTATTTGTGTCTTCTTCAATTTCTTTCATCAATATTTTACATTTCATGTCTTTGGTTAAATTTATTCCTAAGCATTTTATTTTGTAGCTATTATAAATGGGATTGGTTCCTTGATTTATTTTTCAGATCATTCACTATTAATGTGTAGAAGTGTTAAGCCCAAAATTAATTGGAGGAAAGAAATAATAAAGATCAGAACAGAAAGAGAGGCTTAATGGACAGCTGTGGTGGCTCACACAAATAATCCCAGCACGTTGGGAGGCCAAGGCAGGTAGGTTGCTTGAGCCCAGGAGTTCAAGACCAGCCTGGGCAACATAATGAAATCCCATCTCTACTAAAAATACAAAAATTAGTAAGGCATGGTGTTGCACATCTGTAGTCCCAGCTACTCAGGACACTGAGGCAGGAGGATTTTTTGAACCCAGGAGGCAGAGGATGGAGTGAACTGTGATTGTGCTACAGCACTCCAGCCTGGGTAACAGAGCAAGACCCTGTCTCAAAACAAACCAACAAAAATGAAAACAACAACAAAATAATCAACTCAAGAAGTCCCAAATCTTACCATCTAAATCAAGCTTGGGTGCAACTCTGGGTATGGTGAACCCTGAGGCAAAAATCTTCTTCATCTGTGGAAATGTGAAAGTATAAATCAAGTTACCTGATTCCAAAATTCAATGACAGGACAGATACAGGAGAGACATTCCTATTCCTAGAGAGAGAAAATGGAAAGAATAAGGGGGTCACTTGTCCCAAGTGAGTTTAAAACTCAGCAAGACAAGGCCAGGCACGGTGGCTCACATCTGTAATCCCAGCACTTTGGGAGGCCGAGGTGGGTGGATCACCTGAGGTCAGGAGTTCAAGACCAGCCTGGTCCACATGGCAAAACCCTGTCTCCACTAAAAATACAAAAATTCACCAGGTTTGGTGGTACATGACTGTAATCCCAGCTACTTGGAAGGCTGAAGCAGGAGAATCACTTGAACCTGGAAGACAATGTGTGGCTGCAGTGAGCTGAGATCGTACTCCTGCACTCCAGCCTGGGCGACAGAGCAAGATTCTGCCTAAAAAAAATTTAAAAATAAAAAACCTCAGCAAAACAAATTTTTATTAGGTCTCAAGTCCTGAAAATAATCCTCAAAGGGCTGATGCTCTGCCTTCTGAGGCTACAGAAGCCCTGCAAGTCTTAGGGATGTACTAAGAGTCATTCTTCCTTTTTCTTGGAGGAAACACGTTTGAAGCTCAGTACCTTTATGAACTCATATACTGCCTGTGACATTTTGGAAATCCAACAGCTTCACTTCATTTTATTCTGCCTCTGTCCCTTTCACTTCGAAGTGACAGTAATTGTACTGATATAACTTTCTCAAAGCTTTGAGGGTCTCCTGTGCAACTCAAAGAGTCCACACCATCAAGTAAGAGTGCTCTCCACATACCTTTCCTGGATATCCCCATCTGTATTCCTGGCTTCTGCTAGGACTGCTGATTGTTGCCATTAGTCAAATATTCAGCCTCTGTAGGAACAAGAGACAGCAGTCAGAAACAAGGAGATTAGGCCATGCATGTTGGCTCACACCTGTAATCCCAGCCTTTGGGAGGCTGAGGTGGGTGGATCACTTGAAGTCAGGAGTTTGAGACCAGCCTGAGCTACATGGTGAAACCCTGTCACTACTAAGAAATACAAAAATTAGCTGGGTGTGGTGGCATGCACTTGTAGTTCCAGCTACTCTGGAGGCTGAGGCATGAGAATAACTTGAACCTGGGAGGTAGAGGTTGCGGTCAGCCAAGATCCCACCACTGCACTACACCCTGGGTGACGGAAAGAGACTCTGTCTCAAAAAAAAAAATAAATAAATAAATTCAACCTCTTTAGCAAATGGTTTTCCAGCTACTCTATGGGAATTCTCTCCAGAATGTGTTTTATCATCTTTTGAAATATAGATAGACTGGGATTATTTCAAATCACCAAGTTCTGTCTCCTTCTTGCCTTAATAGGTTTTTCCTTGATTTAACTCTTTCCTCTTGCATTTTACTGTAAATGCAAGGAGAAACCAAGTCACACCTTCAATGCTTTGCTTGGAAATCTCCCTGCTAAACATGCAGATTCGCTGCTTACAAGTACTACTTTCCACAAAATAGTAGAACACAATTCAGCCACATTTCCTGGCGCTTTATAACAAGAACCACCTGTCCTCCTCTGTGCAATAATTATTTTGGTTTCCTCTTTTTCTCCTTTTTTTATTTTTATTTATTTATTTTTTGGTTTCCTCATTTCCTGCTGGGGCCTCAAGAGAAGCACCTTTCATTATCATATCTCTATAGCAGACTGTTTGTGATAATATATGTATTCTCCAAAACAATGGCAGTTTTCTTTATCAACCTCTTCCCTTCCCTTTGAGTTCTCATCGGTGCATCTCCTTTAATGTCCATATTTCTACCAATAATCTCTTCAAGGCAACGTAGGCTTCTTCTATCAATGCCTCAAAATTCTTTCAGCCTCTACCCACTAGCCAGTTTCAAAGCCACTTCCATATTTTCAGGTTCTTCCTTCTTTCTTTCTTTCCTTCCTACCTTCCTTCCTTCGCTCTTTCTTTTGAGACAGAGTTGCCCTCTGTCAGCCAGGCTGGAGTGCAGTGGTAC